TGAGCCACAAGCTCGCTGTCTTGCCGTCTTAAGTCGGGAGATATTGACACTCGTTGATAAACTTTCGCCGACCGCCAACGGTACTCACTTGCCCCGCCCTGCTTTGGGTCCCATTTGACACACCATCCTATCTCTGTCTTTAAAGAAGACAAACATTGATAATCCAATCAATCGGGCTGACGAAATTGAGAAAGAAATGTCTGGGAACTGCAGTGTAAACGTAAGAAATGTGCGTGGGGTACATTCCACCATTTGTTTTTTCGGCCCATGGCGCAAGGAAACCACTACAGTAGACTCTCAATCTAATGAAATATCAACAGAAATTATGAAATGTTTTCGATTTCCGTATATCACCTCAACAGTGTTCTTATGTTGATTTTACTACCTCCTAAGCTAAGATATCTTGGGTAATGTAGGATGCCGACTTTTGAATGAACTTCTTCATATCCACGTGCAAAACAGACATCCCGCAAATAATGCCATTTTAATAGCATGCATTCTTTTATTGATTTTGAATGCACTTTTGCATTCAAACATATTTTATAGAAAACATATACAAATTGATGAAATTAATGTTGCGTTTTACACCTAGCGTTAAGAAATGTCTGTTTCTCCTCAGGCGGAGTCTATATATTATGTAGATAATACAAATTTGAATACGAGTGTAACGGCTGATATGTTTCAAAATTTTGGCAATTTATGAAACATTTTTCATCCTGAGGTGAGCGTTTGGGGAAGTCGTATCTTGCGACCAAATGGGTCCAAGACAGCATACTTTAATTCATATTTTCTGTGAAATATAGCGAAATTTATTAGGACGTCAATGGTCAATGTCCAAAATATACGCTACATAGGTAGTCATTCCTGGAATCTTGCAGGCGTGTAGAAAGAAGCTCGTTCAAAGTCGGTATCCTGGCGTGACCGAAGTATCTTTAGGATAGACTATGTGATAATGTATATCACAACTCTACTGAATTATTTTGTTTGTATAACAAGACTTTTCAGGATTTCGATCGTCATTACATTAAATAGGCAAACTAATGTATCAGCATTATCTTAGCCCAGCGTTGGAACAAAAAGACAGTCAACAGGAACCGAATAGAAAGCAACTCGATCCAATTATATATCTGTAAATGCAACCCCTCCTCAAAATCACAACTCTTCACCATATCTCCAACTCTAACTTACCCTTATCCTAAATCTATATCTCTAAGTCTAAACCTCCATTCCCATAACACTAACACAAAACTATAGCTTTGAAGTCAATCCGCCTTCCTAGCATCGCCAGCAACTGCGGATAAGTCTTTAGACGCTTAACAAATCTTATCCCCACTATAAGATACTTTCCTTTTTTTCGCTCGCCAAAACGTCAAATCAAAATAAATTCAACAGCAGTGGCAAAAGGACTTGATCCAGTGGTGGCGCCTTTTGTTCTTCCACCATAATTTTGTCATGTCGACTGCTGCATACAAGCGTAAAAAAATATATAAAAACTTACGGCTTGATGCTCTGAATGACTGATTGGGACTGAATCCACTGACACTTGGTTGAGGGACGCGTAGAGTTGAATCCTAAAGCACGCAAGTTGACAAAAGATAGTGCAAGCTAGCAAAATTATCAACATATAATCAGTCGGAATAGGGCAGAGCAATCTCGACCCCCCCACTTCCTACAGGTGGCCTTGTTTTAATTTTCGGGATGGTGCCCACTCCTAATTTTAACGCATGCCTTGACTCTAAGCCCAATCCTAACGTTACACCACATAACTGTGACACCAGTGCGCATTAACCCACCCCCTCTCTTATCTTAACCCTTCTGACTATGACTCAATTGGAAGTGTTATGCATGCCGAGGATGTGTGCCAGGCCTTAACGAAGTGCTTGCACTAGCTCAATTAGATTTGAGATACTGTGAAGTGAGCAGTAACAGGCATGTTCCTCTAAACCTATTCACAGTCGTCTACCCTCCCTCCAACCTAGTTGGTCCGATAGAAAATATGGCAAACAAAGCCTTTGTCAGCAAGTTTGAAGCATTTGTTCCCCGATACAAATTAGAGCAGGCGTATAAGGCGGGATTTATTGGCATCAATAAATTTCGTAACAGCTTCTCAGCTGCATCTTGTCTCTGCGTGAAAATGATAACAAAAAGAACATACAACATTTTGAAATTTCACAGCGACAGGATGCGGCTGAGAAACTGTCACGAAATTTATTGATGTCAACAAATCCTGCTGTACATGCATGTTTTCAAATTGTCAGAAAGGCTGTTGTCATAGCCAGATAAATGGGACGTATTACAGAGTAGGAAGTGTAAGTTCCGTCAGCGATCGGTGAACGTTCGTCAACGACTGTCATAGCCCCTTTTTGTTTTGCTGCAAGTGGTCTTAACTCTCATCACCTGTTACCTGATTTGAACATAGTAAAGGCTACAAATTAGGCAGAGTTTATCGATGTCATTGATCTCGTATACAACGGAGAAGAAAACCTAAATTCTATATGAGCTGGATCACATGATCAACCGCGAGTTGCCCTTCTTGAGATCGATAATGGATATAGCCCCCATTGTATCCCCTGTTTTCCCACACCTTTCCCCCACTCTACATTGGTAACTGCTGTTCTGCAAGTTGCAGTTTTAGTCACATTTGACAGAGTACTATCGTAATCTTAACTAGCTTGCTCGTGGAAACACAAGACAGCGACAACAGGCAGCCTGCTCGAGACCGTAACGCCTTGCGTCCTGAGGTCTCCCACCACGACGCGAGACAGGGACGACGGAGTGACATAAACTAATTGTCGGTCCCCTTCTCTCCCCTACCCTCTCTCTGGTCCCTAATTATGACTAAAATCTGACCATTTGAGCCCTTTAACCCCCCCCTTCCTAGTTACTACTGATTGGTTGCTTCAATTTGTGTTAACTCTACCATCCCTTGTATTATTGTACTCATCTAGTGATGAATAATCGGAAAGGTTCACCCGCCTAACTTGACTTCCTGTATCTTTGTGAACGCAAGAAGATCATTTAATTTGAGTGCCCCCATATACAAGCAAAAATTGTGCCAAATTCTATGAGAGTTTGAGCCGATCGTGTCCAGTTTCCCATCGCTAAAATTTCCTGTCAAATGCTACTGATGTTTCGGTTCCCGAATAATTTACTGGCTTGTCACATCCAACAAGGTGCATCGAAGAGGAGTAGAAGCAATCGTCCTACTTAGGCAGCCATTATTTACCGAGTGTGGTTTTTGCATACGGTCGGAAAGCCGTGCATTAAAAAGTCGTCAACAAGACGTGTCTAAATCATCTCCGAGTTTTGGTGCACCGTCTCGTTTGCGTACTCCTCCCCAATCTGAAACACCTGCCAGAATTTCCGTTAACATCTCACGGGATCGGCCATTGGCTGCACTTTTTTGTTATATACATGTCGGAGTACCAAAGACCAATATGGTACTTTCCACTCGCTAGGAATTTGACGCCCTGTGTGGTGTACTTATTATTTGAGTGAGCTAAAGCTTATGAAGAATTCAAGTAGTTACGGAAAAAAAACTATACGGATTCTGAGAAGAGAAAAACGGAGCAACGTTTTGCTGCATACAGGAAGTGATATGAGTGACTTACCATGAAATCTGGATTTTCAGCAGGCAAGTTGGGTCTTGGCGTTATGGCCCTGAGCATTTGGAATGCCTTCAGAAATAAATGAATTAAGGAAGGTTAAGATAAGTTAGCAAAATGCGATGTTATCTTAAGTAAATACTATGCCATTTGTTACTGTTTATCTTTTTGTATACGTAATAAATGAAATGAGAAACACAACGTCTGCTTAAAATGCATCGCGAAAAACATCTGAGAGAATTCTGCTGTAAACTGGCTGGCCAGATGTACTTGGCATCGGCCTGCCCGTAACTTTAAGAATTCATGGGCACCCCGAAAGCTCGGTCTTATATGAAAGGAGTCTCGTGCATACATTGCGAAAAGCACATGAAGTCGATGGCACGAGATACTGAGAAGAAGCATACGCGATCTCCAAAATTTTGGATCGTTGCGATTTTGTTCCTTGCCTCGTTTGTGCATGTACCGTTTAACAAGTCTGAGTAGGTATCCAAGGGCAGTGGTGGTCTACGCAACGTTGTCCAACGGTGCATGTGTGAACGGAACGAACGACAAACCACATGAACTCTAAACGTTGACGAGTGATTTTAAAGGTGCCTGCTCGTAAGACTTGCATTTATAGTCCCTTACAGAGCGCAGACAACCGTTTAATGTCAGATAATGAAAACAGAGCATTCACTGCCACGGCAAAAACAGCTGTAGTCGTCTATTTGACCAGGTGCAGTGGCCGATAAAGTTACTACATAGGGGAAAATTGAAGACCCCAGACACGAAATGCCGAACAAGCGGCAGCAGTGAGGTCTGACGCTAAATTGCGGCTCATTCGACGAGGCCCAGCCACACATTCAAAGTTATGAGGTCCACATTCTTGCAAGAAGTGACAGTCGCGTGAGCCGCGAGTAGCTTGAGTCATAGTCTGCCGGCATACAGTATACCAGCAAGAACAGTGTCCCCCCACTGTACTGAGACGCAGTTTTGCCAAAGCAGTTTGCTACTTGGAGAACACATGGACAAGGAAATCTTCCGAAGCCACTTCCGGTGAACTATGTGGTTGAACAATAATCAAGCCAAATCAAGCACGAGTACTTTCAGCAGGTCGCGATCTGTACGCCAGTCATCGAGCAAGTAGCGCCATAGAGAGCAACAATCCCCGATGCGGCTATC